ATATAGCGTCCAGGTGCAGACACAGAACATATCTTTATCATTTTAAGAAAAAAATGACTTATCTAGATTTCGATTTTTTTTCCAGTGAATAATCTCAAACAGCAGAACCTGATCTATAGAAATTAAAGATCAGATGAGAAACAATGTGAAGTATGGGTTTCTGGTATTTGGTATTTGATTCAGTCTTGTTGTATTTACACTGAAGCTTCCTCAGAAAAAAATACAAAACTAGGCTTCAGCTTTCAAACAAACCTTTTCCTCTGCTTTTACCTGGAAGCCTTAAAGGTTCCTCCTCTGATCTCATCGTCTCCACCTTCCCTTAAACATGCATACGCTCTTCTCACCAGTTCAACACCTCCCACTCCATCCGCCCTCACTGCCAATCTCTTCCTGCTCTGTGACTCATGCCTGACCCCCTCTGTGACCCTTACATCCAGTCCAATCATCTGACTCCCACCAGCACTTTACAGAGTGTCAGACTTTCCTTTCTGCTTCCAGCTCGTACTCCTGCCTCCACCCACTGCCACACATTTAGCTCATTTTTTGGCCGTTATTTTTCTTTTTTATTAATAATCTCTCTCCACACTAGTTGAAAAGATAATTCAACACGTGGGTGGTAATTATGACTGGATAATAATTTAAGAAAATTAATCCTGTCCATTACTTACAACATAATAGATTTAAGTTTTTTAGCTGCAAAACGAGAGCTTTGAGGTCTGAAGACCATTAAAGTCTGTTGTTTTATTGAAATATTTTCTTTCTTTTAGCCCAGATAAATGTCTCATTATTTTTATTATCAGTGTATTTGAATATATGCAAAGTAATACTTTGCATATTGCACCTGATTTTAGGAGTTTACAAGAAAAAATCTATTTATCTCTATATCTATTTAACTAAAATCTATTTATTTTCTATCTATAAGTCGTGCCACTGATTCCCAGTTGAATTAAAGTCTGGATTTAGACTGAGACATTAAAAACACATTAATTTAGATGTTTAGATGGTCCACAGGTCTCAGGTCTTGATTTCTCCAACAGATTTTCTTCCATAATTGTGCTGAATTTACCTCTATTCATCTTTTTATCAACTTATACCAGCCTCTGCTATAGAGAAGTATCCCCACAGTATGATACTGCCTCCACCATGTTTTACTGTGTGGATAATTGTAGCAGTGAAGTCTTCAAACATCATTTACATTCATCTTGGGATTAGATTACACAGCGGCTAAAGGTTTAACTGGACTCAGAATAAACGTTTCCTTCATCTTTGCAATTCATCGCTATCGTGTGTAGCAGCCTGTTGAATCCCAATAAAGTTTGAAAACATGAAGCTAGTTAGACTGAGACCTCTACCTCCCCCTACAGGTGAGTCCTGCCCAGAAAACAGCCGTAGCCCGGGCTCCGTCTCCACGCAGCACAGCTCCCCCCGCAGCGACTACACGTACGGAAACAGCACCAGCAGCAACCAGGCCCCAAACACCAGCGTAGGAAACGCCGCCGCTACTTCAGACGGGGGGTCCACCACCAACGCAAAGCCCAGCGACGTCAGCATCAGTAGGAAGGAGAGCGAAGGCTTTGGCTTCGTCATCATCAGCTCACTCAACCGGCCTGAAACGGCTGCGACTAACAGTGAGTCCATCATTAGCTAAGCATGCTTCCTGCACGTTGACCATGTAGTGAA